ATATATACATATATTCATACAAACTAATGTGTTCAATGTCTTTCAAACTTAAATAATTTCCCAGGAAGTAGAATCAGAAAATTGAATGACCACAACCATAGTTAATTATGGTTTGAAGCAGAGGTGCTAAAATAAATTTTAATTCTTTAAGGACAATAAAGAAGATAATTGACAACTGACTCTTAAGCTTAGAGTCAGAGAGACGATAATGGAAGTTACAAGGGAAGCTCTAGGGTCTTACACCTCTGGTATATAGGTGGTTCTACTCAGATCTCTTGAGTGCAGACAAGAACAAAGGTTGTGCCATTTTAACAAGAATTTGCGATAGCCACAAGAGACAAATTTTATTTCAAACCCCTCATTTCAATGTTGGTGGTTTTCTACAAATATGAAACACTAAAACTAAGCATGTAAAGAACATGTTTGCCACACATGTTGCTAGATTTTGCTCTCAAGCTTAAGATGTTGGTTACTGTCTTTTGCAGCTGAGATGCTAAATGTTATCAAGAACCTTTACTGATGAAAGAAAACTAAATACACTCAATACTCCTTTTTGTATAGCCTTTTATTATACTGTAGTATATTGTCAAAACTATATTATGGTATGGTATAATCTCACCACTATACATTTTACCTTTAATATGGCTGAGTTTAGGTCACTAGTTAAAGTTGGTGAACTACGGTTGCAGTTGCATATACATGTAATGACTAACTAATTACAGTGTCTACAAAGTTCTGTCATAAGGGAGATTTTAAATTAAGCATTCTTCTAAACACAACTAAAATCTCAACTTCATTTTGATCCCTTTAGCTATTCATAGTTCTGTTAATCAAGTGGCGAAAAAAAAATCTGTCTTCAACACATAAAATGATTTATTTGTTTGTGTGAAGGTGAGAGAAATGATCCCATCTCTGAGTAATGCATTAGAAGTATAAAGTTCACACTGTAGCACTGCTGATGAAAATTACCTGCCTGCTGTTACAACAGTGCTCATGAATTAATTAACCTTTTGCTATAGGAATCTTCAAACTTCAGCAGACACTGAAGTTTCTTCATTTATCTTTCATTATTTTAGAAAATAAAATGATGTTTAGTCCACAAAGAAAAGAAAGAGATTTGATTGGTTCTTTTTTTTTATAATTTATTTATTTTTTCTCAAATCATAATTCGTTCACATAGGGATTATAAACACACAAAGGCAGGATGTGGGGAAAGGGATGACACTGGAGTGTGGGTGTTCGGGGGGAATACAGATATCTTTCAGAACAGGGTGCCGGCTGGGTGAAGATTCAGGGACAGGTCACTGTGATTCTGCCTATGACTCACTTGTCCTTATCTAAGAATCACCACAGCCCTTCTATACTTGATTGGTTCTTATACTTTTCATTATATCCATACAACATGTAGTTAATGTATAGTGTACAAGAACACTCTCATTGTATTTTTGTGAGCAAGAGATGAACAAAGTGGCTGCTTCCTTTGTCACTTACTTCCCTTTATGAATGAGATTAGGTAAATCTTACTAGAGAGTTGACTACCTTAATTTTACCTTTCCAATTTGAGATGATAACACGCAAAATACAGTATGCCTTTGCAACTGTATTTCAGTAAGTTTTCTTAAACATGTCTATACACACTTCACTTTCTATTGAATATGAACTTGTTCAATTTATTGCATTATAACAATGCTTAAGTGTGTGTGTTTGAAGTGATTTGATAGTTTTAAATTGGGATTAAAAACTTTGAAAAGTTAAATAAAACTAGAATATAGGACAAGAGTATTATTAATAAATCAGGGAGTTAATGTATATCCTCAGCATGTTAATGTAAAGGACAACATTAACAATTAGATACGTCAAGGTAGTTGTATTTAAAAATTGCTAGATTATATATTCTAAACACTGACAGGTCTTATATAATTACTAGGGGCCACACTCAATTTTTCCCACTGTGGTAGTATGTCTCCTAAATATATTAACAATTTTTAGTACTACATTATTCAGTAACATATAATTAAACTGGTCTCTTCTACTATCCAGAATTTTTAATTTTAATGCATTATATTACTTGGAAGTAAACTCTAAACTTTAAATGTAAAAAACTGATAATATCCACTTTAATACTTTGATGAACTAATTCGTATAAATTGTCACTTGCATGTAATTATTTAAAAGAAAAAAATGAAGAGGAAATATCTCTATATTTATACTATTTAATATTAAGTAATAATAACAGCACATGAAACATAAATGTGATGAGAACATGATATAGATAATAACAATGCAAATGCAAGACATTTTAAGATATCAAATTGCTCTTAAAATCTACAGTGCAGATACAAGAAAAGGAAGTAAAGTATGTAGACAAAGTTTGTTAAGGGATAGATGAGTGCTTGGTTAGAAGATCCAGTAGTGGCGCACAGTTACTCATACACACTTGACCAATTACTAATCCTACTTCATTTAGAAGACTGTCCTGTTTTACTGCACATGTATCTTAAGGAGGTTGCACATCAAGTAGTAAGGGTGTAATGAAACTAAAAAAGGAGACGCAGTTATTTCTAGAGTGTAGCCTCTGGTAATTTGACTACACTCCAGTGGAAATTTGCACATCTGAGAATATCTTTCAGTATCAAAGAAGGGTAAACCCAACTGTGAACTTGTTGTCCAGATGCTGCATGATTTGAAACTTACTGCTACAGAGCAAGGTGATGACTCAGCTGTTAATGAAGCCAGTATGCTCTCCTCTATAAAAGGAACTTTTATTCAGATGCTTACTGTTAAATAAACTCATGCTCTTTAGCTCTTTCTGAATTTCAGCTGGCTGGTTCAACTTAGCATTTCTGGCTCTAAATTGTCTTCAAGCTAACTGATTCAATCTGGCTTCTCTTGGTTTCTCACTGAATTGCTCTGCTTGGCCTCAAACTAACTCTGGCAAATTGTTCTAATCTTTTGGCTTTCTTACTCTCTGGCTCATTCTGTCTGTATTTGTGTCTCTGTTAAAATGTCCCAGTAAAAATTTCCTCTGCTGTTCATGAACTAATCAGCACTGTAGTGAGTGCAGCAAACAGAACTGACTCAACCAACCTGAACTCCTCTGCACTATCCTAATTGCACTCAACTAAACTAAATGGAACTCCAGGAACCAAACTGGATCAACTTAACTGACCTAACTCCATTAACTGAACTGCATTGACTGCAAAAACTCAGCTGAACTGAACTTTATTCAACTATACTACACTGCACTGCCTGAACTCAACTGAATTGCCCTCCACTCCTAACTTACTTTATATTACTGTTAAATAGCCTCTAGTTTCTGTCTGTTCTCCTGAGAGTTGAGCATATCATATCTCTGACTCATTCTGTCAAATCTTTCTCTGATTTGTCTCTTTGTCTGCCATTTAATTAGTCTTCACTTTGAAGCATGACTGCTCCCTTCTACAAACTAACTTTACCTTCCTTGTTTAAGACTAAAGTCATGTAGTAAGGGTGTGTCTGTATTTAAGCCAGAGAGATTAAATGTGTATCATGCTAGTCAGTTCACACAGAAAGTCTTTAGATGTGATCCCTTACCAGAGCAGTTTTATTATAGGATTAAAATTCCTCTATATAATTAAATCTTGATTAGGCAACCATATTGCTGAGATTTTGTATGTTCAGCTTTCCTGTCTCACCTAGAATATCTTTGAAACATGTTGTTCCTCTGACTCTTACAATCTCTGCAAATCTTGAGTGATTTTCCCTAAGACAGCATTTTGCTAAATGGCTCATTCTGCCCTCAAAGAAAAGGTCCCCGTAGCCTCAGCATCCTACAGAAGACTAACCTCAATTATCCTCTCATTGCTGAATTATCATTACATATTTTATAAATTGTATATAAATTATTTGCCTGATATGTTTTTCTCATCTGTGGCATACTTTATATTTTATATTGATTTAAGAAAAGAAGATGATATTTTTGAAATTCAATATAATATTTTTATATTTATAGTTCATTTCCATTTTTCTAATACATTTTTGCATAATCTAAAATAAAAAGGAAGTAAACACATTCCACCCGACAGTAGACTACCCTGTATTCTACAGATCAGAATGTGTATGTGTTATTTTTGAAGACAACATTTCCACAATTTTTCAAGAGAACAGTGATTTCATTTGTTAAATTCATCTTTAAGCTGGGCAGTGGTGGCGCATGCCTTTAATCCCAGCACTTGGGAGGCAGAGGCAGGTAGATTTCTGAGTTCCAGGACAGCCAGGGCTGCACAGAGAAAACCTGTCTTTAAAAACCAAAATGAATAAACAAATAAATAAATAAATAAATAAATAAATAAATAAAATAATCATCTTTTAAAAAGTAATTTAATAAAATAATTTTCTAATATTTTTAGGCAATTGATTTTTTCTATGCAGGCAAGAGACTTACAATAGGACAGCTATATTCTAGTGTTATTTAAGTAAGTAGTCTTCTAGAACATAATGATGAATATGTTTCAAAACTAATAGCAATATGTATTTCACTGGTCAATGCTTCAAATTAAGAGATTTTTTAAATTTAGACCAAATACACTCATATATGTTCAATATATTAACATTTTCCAAATGAATATTTTTATAATTGTGAAAGGAATACAACTTTTTAACAGTTATAAATTTAGAATATTTGTCAAAACATTTTGGTCACTTCACTTTTAAGGACATTTCTATTACAAATACATTTCATATTGGACATATTTATTTGAAGTATCAAGGTATTTAAAAATTATACATATTTTATTAACACACACAAAGTATCCAAACTTCCTGGCATTCATATGAACACAAGTTTGATCATGATAACCTTATTCAATACTGTCATTGATTCTTATATGATGTTTAATGGGTAAAATTATACAGAAAGTAGTACATATTTCAATGCATTTTTGAAAATTGAGACTAGACTTACATAAGAATAAAACATAAGAATAAAAATATGACTAGTTTGGAAATAATGATCTCCATACCTGACAGGTAGTGTCCTGTCTCCTTTTCTCCTATCCATTTCTCTTTGAGGGACAGGATACCATCGAAAATTTAGCTTCCAGTTAAAACCACCATAAGTCATGTCTGACCCAGCCATGTACTCAAAGGTATCATCACTAATAACATCAATGATTGGACACACAACCGTTTTCCTGTAGAAAAACAAAAGCCAGTTTTTATACAAATGATAATTTACATTAGCTCTTTAAGTTGGTTATAGATAATGTAGTAACATTTAATTATTTTTATAACACTACTATACCTTTAATTTTCTCTTATCAGTATTCTCTGATGAATCATTTCCTCTGAGATTGCTTCTCTTCCTCACCTTTGCCTTAAGGCTATGATGTGAAATCTAATCAAATATTCTAATTGACCTTCAAGCTGATTTTAGAATGCATTCTAAGTACTAACTCAGCAGGATGAACATTGTCTATTTTTCATAAACTACCACCCACAGCATGATTAGTCAAGTTGCTTTGGCATTATGTATCATTTTAAGCTATAACCCACTGAAAAGCAATAGCATACAGAGAGGCAGAATGGATGAGAGAAAATTAGATCTGGAGCTTTGCATTTCAAATAGATCAAGTTAGTTTAAAGATTATAGGAAAACTTGTCACAGAGAAAATTCCCTTTAGGAAAAAAATCAGCAAAAATTAAAATCATGATCTATAAATACCAATAAGCAGTATCTATGAAGGACACCAGGACCGTGACAACTTAGCAGCAAGCTGTCAGATAACTCAGAGTCTATTGCTGTCTCAATCCATGTACTGTGTTAAAACAAGACAGTAACTTGTGTTCTACCCTAGTTTCCTATACTAAAGCATAGTCAAGAGGTTTTAGCTTTTTGTGAGTCTATTTAGCGTACAAATGTTTCACTTAGGGTTTTTTTTGGACACTTTATTTTCCATCCATGTCAGACCTTCTCTCATTCTTGCTTTTTTGTAATCTAAGTGGTTTACTACAGGCCAACCACGAATCATCTCCACAAGGAAATATGCAAGTCCACTCAAGATGACATTGACTTCAGCTAATCCTGAAGAACAGAGCATCATGCACATTCTAAGTCACCCTTTAGGTGTGGAAAGCAAAACAGGGCTTCAGTGATATCTGCAATACTTCTGTCATTCCTTGTCATGTAGTCTTATATATGCTACACAGTTTTCCATTGCGTAAAGTTTTTGAACTCACTAAGCTTCATCCTACCTTTAGAAAAGCTTCTTGATGAATCTGGCCACAAGCAACTCATAACGTTTATTAATTAATTAATTATTTTTTTCTGGATTTAATTACTTAACTTTTAGTGGGGCAGAAATCAGGTCTATAACCCTTGAGCAGGTTTTCTGTCTAGTTATGGCAATGTAAAAATGTATAAACAGAAACAAAATGACTCATATATAAGATACAAATGAGTTGTTAGGATAAAAGCAAATGCTTTAAGCATGGAAATATGAAACATTACAATAAAAACATACTAAGTTGAATATAAAACACATGTTTAAAGAAGAGCATAATGTACAAAATGTTACCAGATAATGTATTGAAGATATTTTAAGTTTGTTTTGCTTTGTCAGTCTCATTCACCTGTGGGCACTGTACAATACACAAACTCTTATTAGCTATAGACTGCACTGAGTAGACTAAGAGGTTCCCACTGGCTTCTTGAACTGTTGTTCATTTTATTGATAGCCTCCATCTAACTTCATGGCAAGTAGCAGCTCCTGCCATTCATGTGTTGTGGCTGAACTAGTTTACACTAGAAGCCATTGTTCTGAACACTTAATTAAAAATATCAACCCTAGGTTCTTCTACTGTGCATGAAATAGCAATGCAAATGAAGTGTTCTACAGTGATTTATGACATCAGATAGCATTCAATGTTTGCTATCTTCATTAGGTACTAAGAATTAGACTAATTTAGCAGCCACTCATATGAATAGCTATAAGATGTCATAATCATTAAGAATTGCAGAGTTTTAATTCTACAAAGTTCAATGTTTCAAATTTTGAAATTCATAGAAAGAATACTGTTTCAATAATTATACTGTGCTCTACTTATTTTTTAAAACAAATAGTATTATCTCAAGAAGCTGTGTGAGTGTGTGTGTGTGTGTGTGTGTGTGTGTGTGTGTGTGTGTTTTCAAGATCTTTGAGATGAAGTTGAACTGGACTGACTGAAGGCACAGAGGCAGTGAAAAGAAGCCTGCCTAAATTATTCACTGCACTTCCAGTAACACAAGCAAGTTTGTTAGAACATCTGCAATCCCTGCACAGGAGAGTTGGGCGGACCAAAGGTGCTTTGAAAATTTCCTACAACACATTATGCTGTCAAACTTGAATGATAAACTTCACCTGTAAATGCTCAAAACATTTTTCATTGTATCGTTGGATTACTCTTAATCACTTACACATGCTTAACATGAATTATGATTTTATCTTAAAAATGAGAAAGCTGCCTTTTTTGGAGCATAAGAAATAAATCTTCTGAAAATAGCATTTTGAACTAGGCATTGTGATAGACAGCTGGAGCTGCTCTCAAAAGGTCCAGGTGTAAGCCTTGCAGACTTAACACAGAGCTCCCTACCTGTCTTCCTTTATTCTCGCCAGCAAGGGCTCCAGCCATCCTAAGGTGCACTCACAGTGTGCATCCAGAAAAGTTATGACCTGTCCTTTTGAAGCAGCTGCTCCTCGGAGACGGGCACGTATTAACCCAGAGCGCTCTTCCATCCTGATAATTTTCACTGGAACTTCTAAAGTTTTCACGTAATTCTCTAATGTCAACTTGAGAAAATCTGTAACAAGAATGTATTAGGAAGGTTTGGAGACATTTTAGAATAAAACAAAGAGGGGACATAGCAAGCTCATACATGCAGATATCAAATGTGTGTGTAATTACACTCACATATACAGAGTTTTAAAACAAATGTACAAATGAAAAGCTCATCAATTAAATAATGCTACACATCATGATATACACTATCCTAGCTACTTCTTGACTATAAAAATGATTCCTATTTACAGAGGTGCAAAGTATACCTCTTTCACTGGCATCATCGACCAAGATGACCTCAGAGAGCAGGTAATGTGGGGAACGATTTATGACACTATAGACAGTTCTAAGTAGAGTACTCCAAGCTTCATTATGGAACACAATGACTACACTTGTGTTTGGAAGTTCATCAGGGTAGACTTTAGTCTTGCATCTGGGAAAAAAGCAAAGAACAATGATCAAAATAAATCATGTTTCATCCTGATCTTCCTCAGTAGGAATATTCATAACAATAAAACTTCAGACTTCAAACTTCAAAGTCCTTTACCAAGGAGCTGAATTATGAATATATTGAATAATTTTCCTTTTTATAAGCACTGTGAGTAATCATTTGGCCTTTTGAAAGTTAAATATGCATAATTACCAATATTTTATTTTAACTCCTGCAGGGAACAAAGCTGCATGATTTCCATAATTCTAAGAAAAATTTGAGAAAACTGAAATAATATTCTCAAACTGTCAAATAATTAAGAACACTAGATACAATAGATCCAGACAAATTCATTTACTAGAAAAAAATTATTCTTTGATTTTAAAAAAAATAGCTCAAAAAGCTCTATGGGTATAAATAGACATGAATCTGTGCAGCTTTAAAGCATGTAAGACTGAGATTATTTATCTCTTGTAAAATTTAAGAAAATAAGCTTTTCACTGCATTTGAGAATACAGTAACATATTTCCTCATTCAAAGGAAGGTTATGGCCCATGGCTCCTACAATGCCTTGATATTCTAGACATATGGGAAAGAATTTGTTTACCAGTATTTTTCAAACTCTAATGCATACAAACCCCACCAGAGAATTTGTTAAAAGAGAAATCTAATTTGCTAAGTATGAGACGAAGCCTGAAGTCTTGCTTTGCTGCTGGTCTCAGGAGCAGATGGATCAATAAGCAGTTGAATGAAAATTATCATTAATTTGACAATGAACTGTATTTGAAAAAAACAATTTTAAACATGTTTTCAATTCAGATGGGCCAAGATCTTACTCCACAGGCCATAAATTCAAAAATTAAAAAAATGTTTGATTTTTATAATTTTGTAAGTGGGCACCCTGAAATGGAATATGCAGATTGTCATTGCCTCTGTCAACTTTTCAACCATTAGATATGTCTGTCATGTAATTTTAAATCTTGATCACTGTAGACTAGGAAATATGTCACTGGACTTCTGAAACAGGAGTAGAATTTTATTCACCCTAGGACATGTTTAATTTAAAATACTCTAAGAAGTAAAAACTTACAATAATTTCATGATGTGCAACAAGTCACATACTTCCTGCCATTTATGATTTTATATTACACAATGCAGTATTATTAGAGTTAATTTTTTCACAGGGAAGGGACAAAACAGTCAATGAAATATAGGATGTGTTAAAGAAAAACAATAAAATAAAACTGAGCATGTCCATTAAGACTTTTCTCTTTTAAAACATTCTTTAAAATGTCATCCAATCAGCGAAATCTTTTATATACAGTCAGGTAAGAATATCTGTGTATACACTATATATATCATTTCTAACATTTTTGTGTGAACCTATTTGAAAATAAACATGCATTAAGCTCTACAATACAATAACTACTGTGCACACAGGAAAAGAAAATGTGATGATCTCACAGCTCTCTCCACTCTGTGGAAATGTTCAAACAACATCCTTGTGCTTCATCATCTTCTTACTCCTAGCTCCAGGCAGTTCAGGACTAAATGAACTGAGAAAGCCATCTCAGTAAATGAGAAGTGTTTCTTCACCATTTTCTTCAATCCTGCACTCTCTGCCTCGTCAAAAACTCCCACCACCTTCAGCATTCCAAGTGCAATATGACAGTACAATCATTATCATCACTGAAGTAAATCTATACAAATGATATGAAGAGAATCCAACATTCAACAACTACTGGCTTAAACCAGCAGTAAAACAGTTAATAAATGCTACCCAGTGTCAGTTATTATTTTTAAGTAATTCCTTTAAATCAGAATTTCCTGTTTGGAATTCTAAATGCCACCTAAGAAATTTTGGATTCATACATAGTACTGTTAAGAAATAAAATTATCTGAGTATGGTAGATCATGCCTATTATCCCACCACCTTTGAATAAGAAGCATGATGATTGCCCTGAGTTGGAGGATATGCTAGACTAACTACACAGTAAGTTCCAGGACATCCTAGTCTGCATATTGAGAACCTATTTGAAACAACAATAATGAAAACAGTAAAATGTAGCTTAGACATATAGCTCCAATACTTTAAATGATTTTCATTAAGTTTATTTTGTGTTTGAAAAAAATCACTAATATTAATTCTATATTCATCTATTCTTTATATAATGAAGGAAGTTAATCCTAATCCAGATACTATATTAGCAAAGAATCTCCAATGACTCATTTAAAATGTAGTGAATATGTTTGTCAGTTCTTTCTTCCTACTAGAGAGTAAAAGCCATTAACCACAAGACACAGTGTTTTAGTTATGGAGTGATCTGATAAAGGTATTGGTGATCACCCATCATAACATTGATTGAATTTATATTTTATATTATCTAAGAAATTTGATTGTAAGAAAAAAATGAAAGAAACAAATTAAAATATTCAAGACCTGAAAATGGAAACAGAAGCAACAAAGATAACACAAAATGAGGGAAATCTGAAAATGAAAAATTTAGAATTGCAAACAGGAAATACAGAGACAAGCTTCACCAATACAGTACAAGAGATAAAAGAGAATCTTAGGGACTGAATATACAAATCAAGGAATTTATAATCAGTCAAAGAGAATAGAAGATACAAAAACAATCTTACACAAAACATCCAGTAAATCTGTAACACTATCAAAAGAACAAACCTATGAACAATAGGAATAGAAGAAGGATAAAAATCGCAACCTAAAGCCCTAGAAAATATTTTCAACAGATCCATAGAAGAATTTTCTTTAACTTAAAGAAAGAGATGTCAATAAAGTTACAAGAAGCATGCACAAACACCAAAAGATTGGAACAGAAAAGAAAATAACCAGAACACATAATAGTCAAAACACTAAATATAAAGAATAAAGAAAGAATATTGACAGCTAAAAGGAAAAAGATCATGTAACATATGAAGACAAACCTGTTAGGATTACACCTGACTACTCTCATTCAAGACACTATAAGACACATGGTCTTGTATTAATATGATCCAGACTCTAAGAAATAACAGATGCCAGCCCAGTTATTACACCCAAGAAAAGTTTCAATCACTATATGTGGAAAAAATAAGATATCCCATTAAAAGTTAAATGTAAAGAACTACTAGCTATAAATACAGTTCTACAGAAGGTACTAGAAAGAAAAATCTAAATCAAGGATGTTAAACACAAACATTAAAATATGGGAAATAATAATCTCCCATCAGAAAAACCAAATGAAGGAAAGCACAAACACATATAACACTACCACCACCCTACCACAACCTCCTCCTGCTCCCCCTCCCCTCCTCCTCCTCCTCCTCCTCCCCCTCCCCCTCCCCCTCTCCCTCCTCCTCCTCCTCCTCCTCCTCCTCCTCCTCCTCCTCCTCCTCCTCCTCTTCCTCTTCCTCCTCCTATGTGGGACCGTGAAAAAGATAGCTTGGTTTCTGGTAGAGCATTGGATAGAGATGGCCAGAGACCCTGCAAGGGACAGAGTATATTTCACCATGCTCCCAGACCCCAGGCTCCTGATGTGCGGTCTAAGATCTCCATTGATCAGAACCTTTCAGTAACATAGGGCAATGCCCTATCAGCCCCTCCACAGTTAGAAGATGTGGTTATAGGCCCCAGGCCCTAGAGAGATTTCCATATTAATGAAATACCTAAAAACCAGAGGGTGTAGCCAATTAAGTATTCCTCCCTCCCTATTTAACTCAGGTCTGCCCTGAGTTTGGGGTGGGGGGGTGCAGCCAGATTCATCTGCTTTCCACCATGACAATAAACCCTTTAAAACCATGGACTTCCTCTTGTCTTTGGGGCCTGCTATGGAGAACTGTGGAGGAGGCCTTAGAACTACTGAGCCACCACCTAATCTCCCACCTGAGGACTCCTCTACGTTCCTGCCTTGGAGGCCACCAATTCAACCAAGCTAGCAGAGCCTTGATCCAGCCAAGTGAGTCTCGGTAACAAATAGTCTCAACCTGCAGGGTGCTGTCAGGCCACCCCCCACCTCTCATCTCTCATCCCTCTTGGTTGCGAGCCAGTTCAGCTTGTATTTCCCCAGTCTCAACTCTTCTGCAGCTACCAATGGCACCTGGTTGCCCAAAAGTCTGAGACCAGTCAATCCCCACATGCCTTCTTGTCTGGGGGTCCCCACTCAAAAGCCTTGCCCCCACGGGACCTCAGACTGAGATCTCCCCACACCCAGGCAGAGCCCCACAGCTTTGCATGGAGGGAACTCAGTCAAATTCCAGTGCTTCTGCTCCCCAGAGCCGCACCTCCTTGAGCTCCCTGGAGTAGAAGACACACAGAACCACAACTCCACCCAATAGGACCCACACATACCCACACATGAGTTAACTGCCCCACACTTCTTATACTATTACTACTACTGCTGCTGCTAGTTACTACTTACTACTACTACTTCTACTACTGCTATAAAATAACAGGAATTAACAATCATTGCTAATTAGTATCTCTCAATATCAATTGCCTCAATTCCCCAAATAAAAAGACACAGATTAACAGACTGGATACAAAACCAGGACTCATCATTTTGCTTCATACAAGAAATACTTCTCCACATCAAGAATATATATTACTTCAGAGTAAAGTATTAGAAAAAGATATTCCAAGTAAATGGACCTAAGAAGCAAGGTGGTATAACCAATTAACTAACAAAATGAACTTCAAACCAAGAAAAAAAATCAAAAGATAGGAAAGGACCTACATACTCATCATGTGAATGTTCCACCAAGATGACATTTTAATTCTTAACATCTATACCCCAAACACAAGGGCATCCACCGTTGTAAGAGTAAAACTTCTTCAGCTTAAGTCACACATTGATCTCATAGACTGATAATGGGATACATTAATACGCCACTCTCACCAGTGGTCAGGTCACCCAGACAAAGACTAAACAGAGACATGCTGGAGCTAACTGATGTTATAAACCAAAGATATTTAGAGAATATTCTACCAAAACAGTAGAATATACATTCTTCTCAGCATGTCATGGAACTTTCTGTACCACTGGGAAAAGATTTTTTACCTACTCTACTTCCCAAAGACGTTCCATACAAAGAACTCAAAACAACCTAGATATTAAAAAAAAAATCAATTAAAATAGTGTAGAGATCTAAACAGAATTCTCAATAAAAGAATCTCAATTTTCTTTGAAAGATGAAATAGAACAGATTCTACAGGTGGACTGGAGACAGAAAAGGATAGGAGAGGGAATCAGGTGGAAGTGGACTGAGAGAATTTGGGAGATTCAGCTGGAATTGGGGGGAGGGTCTGGGGACAGTGTGGATACCTTGTGCAGTGTAAACTTCCCAGATGACCTAATGAGAAATTCTAGTAACAGAAGATAGAGAGAAACTCTCAACTGATCATCTTTTGTAGTCAGCAAGATTTCTAGTGGTGAAAGTGTGTTGTATCCAGTTGAATTATTGGCTAAGTAGTTCCTATGGTGACCCATTAATAATCCAGGACAGAAGGTTGGCCTCTGAAAACTAACAATGGGGCTCCAGTGATGATAACAACTTCCACTCAGCTCATTGAATATATGGAAATCAAGCTGGGGTGGACTTGGAGCCTTCACCACTAAATTCTAGTCTCTTCGGCATGAGAAGGTATTCTGCAGGTGATGGAAAGAAAAACCTGGACATCCAGCCAGCCACAAAGCCTTCTACCTACAATTGTTCCTGCCTGTAAGCTTTGTTGGGAAAATGGTGGTAAGTAACACATGGGAGTAGCCAATAAATGTTTGGTTTAACTTGAGATCCATGCCACAAGATAGAGGTCTTCCCAACACTCTCCTGGATGGCCTGGATCTGGAGACTTAGCTAAACACAGATGGAAAAAAGAAAGGATTCCTTATGTTTTTGTGCTATATTCATATACCAGTGCCTTATCCAGTAGTCATCAGAGGCTTCCCATGGCAGCAGATGAGAGGGAGTTCAGAGACCTACAGTCAGATATTATGCCAAGAAAGAGTCTAAATCAGAAGTCTTCATCAGATCAGCTAGAGAAACCATAAAAGGCATGAAGGAAAGACTGTAGGAGTCAGAGGATATGGAGGACACAAAGAAGAACATGTCCCACTAAGTCAACTAAGCAGGCTCACATGGCCTCACAGAGATGGACATCTCAAATATCAAACTATGTCATATACATATATGTAATCACTGTTAGTATGGTGCTTTTATGGGGCCACTAACAGCGAGAGCAGGTATATTTCTCATTCTTTTGTCTACTCTTGAGATTCTTTTACTCCTTTTGGGATTCTTCGTCCAGCCTTAATGTGAGCTTTTGTCTTGTTTTAATGTATCTTGTTTGGTCCTGTCTTTGAAGACTTGCTTCTCTGACAAGGGAATGAAGGGGAAATTGGTTGGAAAGGAGGGAGATAGGAATTAGTGGGGATGGACCTAGGAGGAGCAGAGGAAGAGAAAACTGTGGGTATGATGTTTCATATAAGAGTAGAATATATTTTCAATTAATTTTAAAAAAATGTGTTGTGATTCTCTTGCTTTCTGATTAGATCATAACACACAGAACTTGTATTAGCATTTGAATTTTATACACAAAACATTCAGATATGGCAAAATACATCATGACTTTGTGTACTACAAGGGAAAAAAAGTAACATTACCAAATGAACTACAACACAATTTTTTACTTATTATCATCTATTTAATTGTTCAATAGACTATAGAAGATAATCTATCAAATTCATGTAGGTGTCACTTCCTATGACAATATTACATTTACTTTTCGAATCAGTAACATTGATTTTTGTACTTTCTTATGTTTTCTTCACTTCATTTAAGATGAATCCTCAATTTTCAATTTGTGTCATTTAGTTGACTAGAGGCAAAAACCGAGCTCAAACCTTAGATATCAAATATTTCACCTGTGAGTAGTTTCACTGATACTTTTTCATAGGCTTCATATGATGTGCTTTCTAAATATTAAAGCTCAAATGAATTATATTGGGATTTTGTTCTTCTGCTTCAGTAGAACTTGGATGCACCCAATATTCTGTATTACTAATGAAATTCTAGGAGATGGCAACACTGCTAGTCCATGGTTAACACAAGAACCAAGCTATACAAAATACTCAATTTATGATTAGCAAAAAAAAAAAACCAGAAATACAGTCATTTCTCTAAAAATATATTTTGTTTCATCAACTGGAATTTATTTTTTCTGCTTCTTGCTGCCTTTTCTTTAAATGATCATACTAAGTAACCTAATAGTCATGAAGAAATGAAGAATTATATTGCCATTTTCACATGTAATATACGGAGTGCATCACAAACAACTTACTTGACACTATAGCTGAGCAGTTAGGACTCACAAGATTAATAAATTCCCCTGTCTATTGATCCACCACCAACACATCCCAACATAACTAACAGTAGATTTTAACACCCAATGTAATTTTAGATCCATAATATTTTAAGAAAATATTCACGTGGAAGGACATGAACACAGTAAAATTCATGTTTACTACAGAATAGTCTTTACATTTTATTTTCTCCTTAAAGATGGCAGAATTTTCACTCACTGTTTTTTCATTAATAATATAAAACAAGGAACCAGTAAGAATAAAGTGTAGTTTGGCATTGAAATAATAGAATAAATAAAATCCTTTCCATAATAAATGAAATATAATCATGAGAGCATGTATGTGCCTATCTGTCTCTCTCCCTCTCCCTTTCCCTTTCCTTCTCCCCCTCCCTTCTCTCTCTCTCTCTCTCTCTCTCTCTCTCTCTCTCTCTCTCTCTCTGTTTGTTTGTAATAAAAGGAGAGTAGTAATTTTACCATTTCTAACCTCCATTTCTGTATTTTACAAAATGGATTTGAAATCGCCAAAAACTATAGATCTTACCAAAGGATGTGAAGAACATTGTTTCATATACTCAGAGAATGAAGCTTGATATACCATAGTGGATAGATGGCAAAGAATGTTAATGTTCACTGAGTTACAAACTTACTTTACAAAAACCATAAAAATATTTTTAAGTCATATATCCACAATACTGACCTGCATGCAATAGATATATTAGGGCAATAACAGCACAAAGCTTGTGGGAATAATGAATCATTATCATATTTGCATTAAGTCTCACTTCAAGAGATGCAACTCATACCCTTAATTGCTTGAGTGACCAAGAACTTCAGACTAGGTAGCCCAGGAACTTATAGTAAAATTCAATACTACTATCCAATAAAAAAATATAACAGTAGGATGATTCCTAATGGCATTTAGCTATACTTAGAGATCAATGTCTTCCTCAGTCATCTGCAGAGAAGCTTTCTTCTGAAGCAGGTGGGAAGAAATACAAAGACCCACAGCCAGATATTATGCAGACATTGGGAGACTTTTCCTCTATTAAATCCATCTCCTCATGACTCAGAGAATTTTGGGAAATAAGAGGCAAAATAGTTTAAAGGGGAGAAAGGACGGAAGGTACCAAGAAATCAAGGCCCTTCAAATCAAAACCATCAAAGTTCATATGAACTTTCAGAGACTGAGGCAGCAGGCAAAGGACCTAATTGGCTCTGCAGCAGACCTTTGCATGTGTGCTATAGTTTCCAGTTCAGTCTTTTATGGAATTCCTTAGCGTGCAAAAGAGTGTTTCTCTGATTGTCTTCTTTTGGGCTCTTTTACTGCTGTTCATTTGTCTTGTCTAATCTAAATATGTTTCTTTTTTTCTCATCTTATTACATTATATTTTATTATTATTTCTTAGAAATATATTTTTTATTTTCTGAGAGACAGAAAGGGATTGAATCTGATGGTAGTGAAGGTAGGAGACCACTGGCAGAAATAGAGGGAAGGAAAACATAATCAAGGTATACTTTTTAAAGAATAAATACTATTTCCAATAAAAAGTAAAAAGAAAAAACGTTGTAAGATGCAAAGAAGGAAATTTTTGAATAAATTAAATAATTAAAGGATAATGATACTTTTCTTATACTGTCTTGATTGTTTAATCAAGTTTTAAATTATACAGGTTAGAAAAGCCTATATGGTTATTTTTTATTTTTTTTAATTTTTTACATCCTGATTGCAGTTTCCCTCTCTCCTTTTTTCCCAGTTCCTCACTCCCACATACTGTATGCTCTGTCACCTTTGCTACACTCCCTTATCCTCTTCTCCTTTGTTTCTCTTCATAAAATGCAGATCTCCCATGGATATCAAACAGGGCATATCAAGTTGTGTTAAACTGGACACATCCCCTCATATTAAGACTGGATGAGGCATCCAGAGTAGGAGGAAATGGCCCCAACATCTGGCAAAAGAGTCAGAGTAAGTCCCTGCTCTCATGTTAGGAGTCTCATAAGAAGACTAAGCTACACAACTGTAATATATAGCAGAGTGCCTAGGTAGGTCCCATGTAGGTACATATTAGTTGATTCTGTGGGTATTCCTACGATGTCTTTGAAATCTTTTGCTTTCATAATCCATCCTCAACTACTTCAGGATTGCCTGAGCTCTGCCTAATGTTTTCTCCCATCAGTTGCTGGATGAAGTCAGTCTCTCTGATGACAATTGAGCTGGATACCAATCTGTGCATATAGTAGAGCATCATTAGGAATCATTTCATATAGCAACAGTCATTAAGTCTTCCCCACCAAAAATGCCCAGTACCATATGGTTTTAGAGTAGAATGCTATCAGACCTTCAGAGAAGACCTAATCCCAATTCTCTTTAAATAATTCCACAAAATAGACATAGAAGCAACACTACCCAACTCATTCTATGAAGCCACAATTACACTCATACTTAAATCACACAAAGACCCAACAAAGAAAGAGAAATTCAGACCAAACTCCCTTATGAGTATTGATGCCAAATGCCAAAAAACTCTAAAATTCTCAAAAACCAAATCCAAGAATATATTAAAACAATCATCCATCATGATCAAGTAAGCTTTATCACAGGAATGCAGGGATGATTCAATGAAAATCTCACAATGTAATCCACTATATACACAAATTCAAAGGAAAAAAAAAAACAACTAGGTGCTGAGAAAGCATTTGACAAAATTCAATACCCCTTCATGTTAAAAGACATGGAATGATCAGGAATTCAAGGTCCATACCTAAACATAGTAAAATCAATACACACCAAACGAGTTGCCAACATCAAACTAAATGGAGAGAAACTTGAAGCAGTCCCACTAAAATCAGAAACTAGACAAGGCTGCCCACTCTCTCCCTATGTATTCAGTATAGTACTTGAAGACCTAGCCAGAACAACTAGGCAACGAAAGAGGTTGAAGGTATACAAATTGAAAAGGAAGAAGACAAATATCACTATTTTCTGATGATATGATACTATACTTAAGTGATTCCAAAGCTTCCACCACAGAACTCCTAAACCTGGTAAACAACTTCAGAAAAGTGGCTGGATATAAAATTAACTCAAACAAATCAGTAGTCTTCATCTATTCAAAGGATAAACAGGCTGAGAAAGAAATTAAGAAAACAGTACCTTCACAATAGTCAAAAATAATATAAAATATGTTGGTGTGACTCTAGCCAAGCAAGTGAAAGAGCTGCATGACAAGAACTTAAAGTTGCTGAAGAAACAAATAGAAGATGTCAGAAGATGGAATGATCTCCAATGCTCATGGATAGGCAAGATTAATAGAGTAATAATGGCCATCTTGCCAAAAGCAGTCTACATATTCAATGCAATCCCCATCAAAATACCAACTCAAGTCTTCGTAGAGTTAGAAAAAGCAATTTGCAAATTCATTTGGAATAACAAAAAACCCAGGATATCAACAAATATTCTCAACAATAAAAGCACTTCTTGGGGAATCAGCATCCTGGATCTCAAGCTGTACTATAGAGCAATATGATAAAAACTGCATGGTATTGGTACAGAGACAGGTGGGAAGTTCAATGGAATAGAACTGAAGATGCAGAAATGAAAATACATTCCTATGGTCACTTGATCTTTGACAAAGGAGCTAAAACCATCCAGTGGGAAAAAAGACAGCATTTTTCAACCAATGGTGCTTGTTCAATTGGAGGTAAGCATATAGAAGAACGCAAATCAATTCATCTTTATCTCCTTGTACATAGCTCAAGTCCAAGTGGATCAAGGACCTCCACATAAAACCAGATACACTGAAACTAATAGAAGAGAAAGTGGGGAATATCTTCGAACACATGGGAACAGGGGAACAGTTCCTGAATAGAACATCAATGGTTTATGCTTAAGATCAAGAATTTACAAATGAGATCTCATAAAATTGCAAAGCTTCTATAAGGCAAAGGACACTGTCAATAGGAAAAAACAGCAACACAGAGATTAGGAAAATCCTACATCTGAAAGAGGGCTAATATCCAATGTATACAAAGAACTGAAGAAATTAGACTCCAGACAATCAAACAATCCTATTAAAAATGGGGCATAGAGCTAAAGAAAGAATTCTCAACTGAGGAAACTCAGATGGCTGAGAAGCACCTAAAGAAATGTTCAACATCCTTAGTCATCAGGGAAATGTAAATCAAAACAATTCTGAGATTTCACATCAGACCAGTCAGAATGGCTAAGATCAAAAACTCAGGTGATAGCAATTGCTCGCAAGGATATGGAGAAAGAGGGACACTCCTCCATTGTTGGTGGGATTGTAAGCTGGTACAACCACTCTGGAAAGCAGTCTGATTGTTCCTCAGAAAATTGGACATAGTACTAACTGAGGACCCAGCTACACCATTGCTGAGTATATACCCAAAAGATGCTTCAACATATAATAAGGACACATGCTCACTATGTTCATAGCAGCATTATTGATAATAGTCAGAAGCTGGAAATAACCCAGATGCCCTTCAACAGAGGAATGGATACAGAAAATGTGGTACATTTTCACAGTGCAATACTACTCAGCTACTAAAAACAATGAATTCATGAAATTCGTAGGCAAATGTATGGAACTAGAAAACGCCATCCTGAGTAAGGTAATCCTATCAGAGAAGAACACACATGGTATGTACTCACTGACAAGTGGATATTAGCCCATAAGCTCACAATACCTAAGATACAACTCATAGACCATATGAAGTACAAGAAGAAGGAAGACCAAAGTGTGGGTGCTTGGATCCTTTTTAGAAGGAGTAACTGTTAGATGTCTGCACACAGCTTGAAACAGACAACACCAGACCAAATGGTTCCAGGAGGGTGGGGGTGGGGGTCTTATTCAGGAGATTGGGCAAAGGTGGGGGGAGAAGTAGAGGAAGAAGAGAGGAGAGGAGAGAGAAAGAAGAGAGAGGAAGAGGAGAAGTAGAAGTAGATGCTGAGTAAATTAGTTGTGATGTGGCCATGCATGGGTAATGAGATTTAAAACCTTTAATACTTTATATTGGACATTAAAATATAGGCATTTGAGGTTAAGAATAACTGAATGAGAAGATCTTATTCCTGGATACAAATACTATGGTTGCAAGCACTGAGAAATCAATTAAAAGTTGAATAGGAAACTCTCTCTGTGGTGGTTAGTTTTCATAGTGCTGGAATGTTCTATGCATGCTGCTGTGGAAAAAAACGCATCAATTGTCTTGCCTAACAATAGATGCTCTATGGTATGATACTGACCTGACAGGTAAATTGTATTCACTCATACAGTAATGGTATGACAATCATAGGAAAGATTATCTTTTAATTCACAGGAGTGAGTTCATGTCTGATGATTTAAACCTTGCTATAAGAGACCACGAATAAATAGATCATAGACCTTAGGGATGAAACTCATCCTGTTCTTTTGCTACATGATGATGCTGAAATATACTTCTTAGTATCTCTATTTATAGCCATTAACTTCTGTTGCTCTCAACTTTGCTCAAAGACATTCTTCTTACAGTAGGTATCTAATGCAAAGATTTAGAATTGGTCAAAATACTAACTGACTATGAGTGCTCAGACATGAAGGGATTATTTATAGCAACCTTTTAAAAGTTCAGGAAACATTGAGAAAGAGGGTGAAAGAATATAAGAGCTGCAGGATTAGGAGAACTTCCATGAAATGCTGTTTTCAACATAAGCTGGCTGATATGCACATGAATTCATAACAGCTGTGGCTGTTGGCAGAAGAACTGTACAAGATAAAGCCAGTAAAAATTCCAGCAGAGATGAAGAAAATGCTTCCAGTGCCCCTTCCTTGGCTAAAATGCTGTCAGCAGTTTATGACCCTTGAGGGAGGCTGAGTTGATTTGCTTCAGAGTTCTAGCATCAGCAGTTTTCTCGTTTCCCGAAAGATGATGCAATACCAAGCGATATAGTCAACACTAATTAGAGTCATAGGGATGATAATAATAATAACAATATAATAACAATAACAATAATAATAATGAGAAAATTATGTTGGGAAAAAGACATTCACAGTGGTAACTAAGGACAGGAAAGTGGGTACACAAGATCAAAGTAACTTGAACACATGTACAAAATTTTTACAATTAAATGAAAATATTATACTTAGACACATATTTTATGAAATAGAAACTGAGAACAATAAACTTCAATTCTTTTACTCACAGATATATTAAAACAAATGAAACATCCTCTTTGCCTAAAAAATAGTGAAAATGAAAAGTATGTAGTTAATATGGTTTGAAACTATTTTCTACAGATGTAGATCTGAGTAGTAAAAGAGTTTTAGCTCCTTATCCTATAATGTATTTAGATGTACAATAATGTTCAATCCTCTGCCTTTTGGTTGGAAATTTATAAATACAAAAGAAAATACAGTTGTGCTACGTTGGCGGGAATATGGGAGTACAGGGATGTTTCAAACAGCTGCAATCTTGAAATGCGTTAAACAGTGTACCTATTTGCCATCTCTCCCCTTGGCTATGCACACATTAGGAGAACATAAACTGTTACAGTTTGATTTTCTCCTTTTCAAAGGCATATTGATGTTTTCAGATAAGCTACTCAACACAACATGATACATCAAAGGAAGAAAAATCGACTGTAAGATGAGAATGTGAAATCACAAAGGAGTCATAATTACACAGTGGTTTAGTTAGAAACAATCCATCTAGGACTCCCAACAAAGGCTGTCAACACTATGGTGTGCTTGGCTTGCTGGCAGGCTGCTCACTGAGCCAGTGGTTACCTTTTACTGCCTCAAATAAAGAAGATTAATAATAGCAATTAAACTGAAGACTTGTAACAAAGGTCCTCTATATATTTCTTATTTTTAAGATCTATGAGATTTGCAGAATTACATGTGGCTTCCATTCCCCAGTAAGAATAACCACAGACAGAATTTATGTCACATTCCAATGCATCCATGTAAATCAAATTGAGGCAATGAGAAAATAGTTCCTTCACAGTCTTGGACAGCTTGGGGACTTAAGTAAAATACAGTATTTAATTTTGCATATATTTCTACAGATTGCTTTACATGTATAATTTGTTAAAGTTGTCAAAAATCAGATGATTTTCTCAAAACTGAGTACCTTAAATTTCATGTAAATAAAGTTTTATGTTTATTTAAAATACAAGTACACATTTTATTATCTTTACCCTGCCTGCTTTTGAATCCACCCTTGCTTCCTCTGTTTTCTGATACACATTGGTGGTGATAGGAAAGCCTGCCTCTGGCCAAGATGTTGATCCACAATTTTCTTCTCTTCTTTTCTTGGATTTAGTTGTATATATTGCCCTTCTAAACTTAGGACATTGTCTAGACATTGTGCTGTAGGGAACAGAAATAGAGAGTAGAGAATTTCTTCCTTTTCCCTTATCTAATCTCACGTAAAGTTATTTAACCCCTTCCTGCTCTACATCTCATATACCTCAATATTTTTACTTATTACACTTTTATAATAAAACTAACATCAAATGAAGTAGGGGAGTCTTTAAAACAGATCAAAAGAGCAAATTTCATTTTACTCCATTATCTGTCACTCTATATGCCACAAACTATATCTGATAAGGAAATATGTAAATTAAAACTTAATGATTAGGCAGATTACTATAAGAGGCATGAAATCAACTCCCCAGTCATACCTCTCCATTTTTATAATCTGAACAAGAGGTATACAGATACATTTTTCCCTACAATTTCGTGAATCTTTCATTGATTTTTTCCCCAAGCATCTAAAACCAGAATAATAATTGGGTAAATCATATGGAAATGAGAAAGCTAAATAAAAGATTCACAAGTCATTCTATTCTAATATAGCCCCTTTAAAGTCAAGCAA